ACACATCCATCTATCTCTGTCTATATATAGGTATATTTAGTTTTGTCGTTCAGAGTACATTAGCATGGTGAGCAGTCTCTCTAAGAATGAATCCAGCTTTGTGGTACCGGAAAGTCAGGGTTAATCCTGAAGTTGTCTCGCTAACCCAGTAATCCTGCTTCGTGGTAGAGACCTCTGGCTTTGTGTTTACACAAAGCGGCTATGTGGATCCCTCCTTATGTAATAGTTTCAGGTTGCATTACTGTTACCTGAGTCACATTTGCTTTCTAATCTTGAGCCTTACATTGCTTTCCAGCCTTACTCAGCAAAAAAACTGAGATTTCCACAGAAACCTTGAATGTTTCAGTGCTTTGTTCTCTGTAGATGCGGACAGACCTTAACTATGCAATATTTCACCTTTGAAATACAAGCCTTCAGTCAACACATCTTTCCATGTCATGACACTTTAATACATCATTATTAAACCAATGATTTGGCAATTTCCAACATAAAACTACTTTGGCTTTTCAGTATCGTTCACCTTTGCTCCTAGTAAGCCGGTAATACTGTTAGATTGATGTGATTTATCTAAAAGTTTTATTTTTTTCCATCAAGGCTGAGAATGTGAAGCAAAAAATCATTAATAAATCAATTACTGCCATAAAACTGGATTTGGGGCATTGATGTTTTCTGTCTGTAACATGTCATTAGTGGTACCAGGTCTTAAAGCCAACAAGAAACTGAACAAAAATAAGGATAGTTATAAAAATTTTTCCATAAGCATGTTATCAATCTTGTTTTGTTTAAATAAGATTTAAATAAATTAACAGATTACAGATGAGCAAATTCAATAAATGTCATATACCCATCTGTATCTTGAACCCATGAAGCTTATTTAGACATACATTATTATTATTTATTTTTTTAATAACCTTTGATTTTAAAAGATAAATATGAAAAACTTTTAACCATGGTTCTGTGTGGTCATAACAAGCCATCAGTGTCTTACCCTTATGCTACATTCAGAACACAACGCTGGAAGCAGCAAAAAAGCTTCTGCAGCTTCATTTTTTATTCCTTTTCACATTAAGGTTAAACACACATCAAGAGCAGCTTTGATGCTCCTGAAGCACATCTGGTAAAGTATGTCTAGATGAGTCGGATGCTCCTGCTGCTCCTATGTTCAATGGCACAAAGCGGTTTTGCTATATTTGCTTCTGATCATCTGCGCACCAGATGATCAGAAGCTCATGAGGCGCAGCTACTGCTGGTCAAAACATGCTGCTGGATCTTTTGCTGCACCTTGATGCGTGTCAACCATTGACTTTGAATATAAACTAGCGGCTTCTGCTGCCTCTAGCACGTGCAGCCTGAACATAGCATTAGTCTTGGATAAGGCACTGCAGTAAATTAACTACAGTTCTTTCTATAGCAGTTTCTATACTATGAAGCATGGAGAAAACATTAAGTAATAAAACATATGTTTAACTAAACACAAACAGAAAATTATGCCCACCTTTGGTCATTCATCCAAGCAAAGAAATGGACATGACCACGCCCATGAACTGCGTGAAGAGGATTAGTGGAGTGAAGAAAGACCACACTGGCCAAAGTGCAATATTAAAGCTGCAAGACAAGAAGAAATATGTTAATAAAATCTACAGATGAGCAATGAAGAGGCCAAGCATGGTTTTGATTTGCTGTAATTGGAGATCATTTTTTAAGGAACAACCTAAAAAAAAATTAAATACCCTAATCAAGGTAGCTAAATTGTAGTAAAATATAATTAACTTATGTAACTATACAATGAATAGCAGGAGCTATGAAACGCATCACAGCCCCTGCAACTAGTAAGTTTGTACAAATTACAGTAATTGCAGTGGAAAGGTAGATTACTCAACTAAAATAAATCATTTAAACTGCTTTTGTAACTGTTAAATCATTTCTGTCTTCAAAAGCAAAAACATTACTCTACTTTTTTCTATTAGGCATCTACTTTTATTCATTTCAAAGCATTTATTTCAACTCATAGGTACACTGGGCAGTGAAACAAATCTTTTATTTTGCAGTTTTTATACTTAGTCAACAATGGAATGAACCACCAGTAAACGACCATCGCAAGAAAGAAATTTCACTCTTTTGATCAAAATGCTTCTTTCTGCTAACATAAGATATCTGCTCTCACTTGTGCATGTATTTTCAATTGTCTTTGTGTTTTGTGTGTTTTACCTGCATGATGCAGCAATAAAGGCTGCAGTGGTAATGGGAGGAATAGCAGGGTACTCTTGGTCATAGTGCTGAATGCCTTTGAACCACTCCAGGTACACAATGCAAAACGTGGCCAGAGACAAGCAGATCCCAAGAAGTATCACACCCACATTAAACCACCAGCTGAAAAAAAGGATATATTCCATCAGCTGTAGGGCTTTAGTAGAAAAATAATATCACATGACAGTTTTCCAGGTGGTCTCATATATCAGTGGCTCCCTCTGTATCAAATCCACGGTTACAGAGTTTAACCTCTGGAGAAAAAAACAATCACATTTGACTATGACTGAGAATAATTTAAACAGAGCTCCCTTCTTAGAATTTGAATTAATATTTACCCACAGCATACATTATACAAAGTTCTTCCAGCTGTAATTACTCAATACAATAGAAAACCACTTCAAAGTGCCATGTTACCTTTTATGCAGAACAAAGCTACTGAAAATAGTCTGCTAACTGAGAAATATGAGAATTCCCTTTGATTGTGTGCAAACAGTGTTTGTATACATATTTATTTAATTTTTTTCCCCAATTAAGTGTCCACACACTGCCGACTTTAGTAGAAGTCAATAAGTATGTCACATCTTGATTTAGCTATGTTTTTCCCTAAAGATGACACTGGTCCACAGACCAGTATTCAGGTGATATCACATACTTCCTCTAAGATTTAGCTCTGCCCTCTGGTTTGGTTGTTCCAAAACTTTAGCTAAATCCAAATTCCTCAGATCGTTGCTCCTCGCTCCACTTGCTTCGTCTTTTGCCAGGTCACCAGTAAGAACAGTAAAGCGGAAACGAAAGGAACTGCAGACTACTGTGCTGAATGCAGACAGCCTTTAGGCTCCGGACATCATTACTGTACACGACTGAAACACCCATGGATGATGCAGTTCAAATTGGGACTACCGTATACTAGAGACAAACTATAAAACATTTACAACACAAATGTAGTGAATGCTGAAGCCCATCATTACATAAACCTAAAACTCATGATGGGGCTTCCAGTACATTTGGAAGCATCACACAAACTTAACATGAACATATCATGTAAAAATGCATATTGTTAAACTCTGTGAGGTGGGCTGTGCCTATACGCCCTGTCATGCAAAGGATTCTGGGAAGTCGTTTAGCTCCTATAAACTTGGTAAGAACATCGGGAGGTCCCTATGTTAAATTAATTAAATTAAATTAAGAGGGTTTTCATTAGGAAATATTGGTAATGTTTCCAAATACTACTGAATGAATCTTAAATGTAAAAACCATTTAAAAGCAAACATTCATGTCATTCTCTTACTTTTACTTGTATACCGCTCGTTGGCAGTGCACCACCCAAGAGTTAATGTTTTAATGCTGCTGTCTTTTTGGGAGCCTGCTCAGAGGAAGACACCTGTTGTCTAATTTGATTATCCTTCTTTTTCTGTACGTTTTTCAGTCTCTCCTCTTTGTTTCATTGTAACACATAATACTTTTAAAATGGACTGATATCAGAGCAACTTCTTCCTGTGATTAGATCCTTTGTAACCTCTCTGCAAACTATAGCTTGAGCTGAATGCTGGTAATGGTTAACACCAAAGAGTAACTAGGGATATTTAATAAAAAGTACCAACAGGTTGTTGTTGTCGTCTTCCTTTTTTTGTGAACATATCTTTGATTTCTGATAAATCTGATTTTTAGCTAATATAATAAGTAGTATGTAGTATCTGCTACTACTGATTTGGAAGACCATAGCCACATTATATCCCGATACAAAGATTAAAATCCATTTGATCAAATAAAATAAGGTAATATATGCCAAGCATCCACGCCTATAGTATTTGATAGTTCTGTGACGAGCCTAAATAGATTTCCTGCACTGGGTGCAATAAACATTCATACTTTTTTCAAAGTGCTATTCAAGCCTATTTTTATTCTTTTTCTCACTTTTTCCACATTGGTTCTTGGATTTTTCTTTCTATTATTTTTACAACTCTTTTAGGAGTTATTGAATTGGAACCCCCCTTATTACTTCCTTGTTTATCCATTGCATAAAAGCTCAAAATTATACCACCACTCTAGCAGTTTCATTGTAAATATTAAAAAAAGGGTTTTATTTACTAACAAACTGAGCAAAAACAAAACATAAAACAAAGAATAAGACCAGGTACTATTAATTACAATAAAAATGCTATAATGAAACAAATGGTCATAGTAATGCTTATGAAAATAGAAGAGAAAAATATAATAATTCCTATTTTATTCCAGACCTTATGGTAGTTCTTACGCATTTTTATTTCTTGTTTGATTTCATGTACTGAACAGCAGTAGCTAAACTGGTTTAATTGTACTGTGAGCAGTTATAATAATAAAGCATTCCATTCATTCTACACGATCTTATTGTTTTGAACCATAAAGCAGAAAAGGTATTGGAGAAACACAGGACACAAAGCACACAGAAATGTCTCTACTAATAGGAAAAAAACCCAGACAGGTGGTACATGAATGTATGCTGAGAGGTTAATTATCTTGTGTAATCAAATCCCTCTAAACATGACTTTTACTTCTGTTTACCTCTGTATGTGCAACTCTAAGGTTCTTGCATAGTGAGATTGTGTATGCTCTGAAACCATAGTCTCCCATGTTAGACATCAATATTAGTAGATCACCCAACATTATACCTCTCTAGGCCAGGAGTGCTGCCTCTTTAATATTAGTGGCACAATAACTCCAAGACCACAGTTTGTTTTCAATCATGCGAAAAATATAAAATAGTACATCAATAGAAATGTTCACTTTACTTACAATAGCATATGGGTCATCTTAAAATATAAATAAAAGAAATTTAGTTTCACATTTAATTTCATTTTAGATTTTTGCAATTATTGTTTGGATTCTGGAAATCAGTTTTACCTCTTGACATCCTCGTTCTCCATAATTACACGCAGGAAATCTGTATAGTAGGTCACAACTACAGTTGCCACGATCCAGAAAACGGAGTGTCTGTTGATGCGAGGGAGAGGTTTCTGATCTTTTTCATCCTGACCTGAAAAGTAACACACACATCAAAAGTTTCAAAGAGTAGCAGCACATGTATTCAAGAGCAGTTATTAGGGGTGCAACGATTAATCGGCCGGCCACTTCTATTAACCTCTAAAACTCCAATCAATATGGCAAATGTTTTCAAAGAAATGCTGATCTTAATCCTGTTCCTTTGTTTGAAAATATTCTAATTGCCATTTCGTTTTGTTGTTTATTTTTCAGATAAGCATACAATAATTAGTAAAATACAAGACTATTGACTATAAAACAGTAAGGACTATCACATCCAAATTATTTATCTTCACCTACAATCAAGGAGGATTTAGGCCCAAGCTTTATCTTTCCTTAGCAGAATGTGCAAAGCTGCCGCTGTCAGATTTAAGCAGCTTTTGAGCTGAAAACTGATATCTTTCTTTGAGTTAATCTTGCCTTTCAGAGAGCTATTAATCTCTATAATTTAGTGGCTGATTAAACGTCTCTGAGCCGTTCTTGGCTGCAGAAATGGGTTCGGCATGCTGGACCTCTCTGTGCAAAGTTTCCAATGAACTAACTGGCATAAAGAAGCAGCAACATTACGATGTAAAGTCTAAAAGGAAATCAGACTTACCAGAAAATATTGGTATTTAAACTATAGAAGTACACATAAAGATAACAGAAACACCCCAGGAATGTATGGCACTAGTCATGTATCATGACTAATAAAGCCTTTTACCACAATCAAAACAATAATGAAATGCTGTATTTAAAACATGTGATAACCTCAAAGCTGGACGACTGTCAATTGTGCGCTGTTTAAAGGAGATGCCACTGGATAGAAAAAGAAGCTGACTATAATAATTCTATTAATTTAGTATTAGAATAAAGTCAAACCGTAAAGTTGACAAGTTTCTTTATAGAAAACAAACTATGTGAAAAATGGCAACAAGTGATACATTACTAGAAGGCAATAACGTGAGATGCAAGTGAGAGACAAACTATAAAATCTCAAATATGCAGCTCCATGCAAACGTATCCACATGTCAATGTTTTTACAGACTTAAGTGCATTTCATTAAAATTTTTAAACTTAGACCAATATCACTTTATAATTTAATGCGCAATTTTTCAAAAATATAAATCTAGAAAGGCTAGTGTGTGTTTATTACTGTTAAAGTCTTTTGCAACAGTTGGTCTTCTCGATTTGTCCTTTGTGTAATTTAATCAAATTAAAAATCTTTTATGAGCCTTCTGAGGTTTGTTGGAGAACATCAGTAAAACAACCAGCATCATGACAACTGTCAGCCATGAACCCCAAAAACTGACCCTGATATAAAGAGGGAAAGAAAAACATTGTTAAAAGAAAGAAAAATATTAAAACTACCATTTCCAGTTTCCCAATAGCATTGTAGGGACATATTAAACATGTGGAGATGGTTTCCTCATCAGGTGGGTCTGAACCAAACTGCTGATCCTATAACAAAGACTGAAAAATAATATCGCTGTGAATATATAACTATAGTGGGAGCAACACACACGTTTTTTGTTGGGATTTTTTTTTACACAGGGACAGGAATGCTTATTAGAGTGTATTTAAAGCAAGAAATATAGAAACAAATCCTAAGGGAAATTTTGATTTGTGGCAAAGGTCTGCCTTTTATTACAATTAACTTTAATATAGAGCTGTAGCCTGATAAACTAGACTAAATGCGAGATTAAATGTGTTATTTAGTTTGGCCCTAAATAACACATTTAATCTCTTCAACAGAAGATTGTTGATGAGAACAACCCGTGGGGCTCGAACTCAGAACCTCAAGATTCCAAGCTCTCTGCCCTAACCCAGGGGTGCTCAAGTCCAGTCCCCAAGAGCTACCATCCTGTAACTTTTAGATGCATCTCTTCTCTAACACCTGAATCGAAAGGCTAAATCCCTTCATTAAGCCCAGCAGAGGCATAGTAACGAGCCACTCATTTGATTCAGGTGTGGTAAAAACTGGGTGCATCAAAAAGCTGCAGGATAGTAGCTCTTGAGGACTGGGTTTGAGCACCCCTGCCCTTATCAGTAGGCCACCACTCCCTTTTGATGGCATTTTGTATGAGATATAACCCTGCTTATAAATACAGATGACTGGGGGATGCTCACTGTAGAATTAGACGTGTTTAATGGAGTCAAATATATGAATGCTTTGTGATAGACAACTAGACACTGGAAGAGGTGTCAAATTAGTTTGCGTTCAATAGATTCAAAAGTAAGCATACCATGACATACACTGTTTATTTTTTGTGTGGAACGAGCATATAAAAACAAACTAATGAAAGTATCACTCGATTTCAGAGGAAGTTCATGACCTGCAATATGACTTTATGTATACATTTATACTCTCGTGGCTTCTTCTCTCCTGTTAATGCCTTTATCTTTGTTTATGACAAATTATCTAATGACAGCACATACACACTTTCATTACTTTCACGGTTCCACGGATATGTTTTAATGGCGATGATTAAAAAGGGGTGAAACAATAGCTGTTTTTTTGTCCTCCTCTGCCCACTGTATTTCAATGAGAGCCTTTTGAAGCTTACTCTTTTCACCGTCGACAGCCGACGTCGTCGTCTGCATGAGAAGCTCCGCATCTCTTTTAAATCTGTTGCGCAGCGTCGCTAACTCGCTGTCGTTAAACATTTTTGTTCAACTCATTAGCTTTAAAAGCCTACTGTATAGAAGTCCCTTCCGGTTTGGAAGAAGCGTCGCTCGCTAATGACGCAATATACGCGACAGCTGCAGTTTTGTTGTGATGTAAAATAACTACTGAGAGAAAATCTATACAGATTAGATTAGTAAACATAATGCCTGCATGTTAAAATTAAGTATAAATGAGTAAACATAAAATTAGTCTATTAAGATAAAACACAATTTTTACTATTTTTTTATTTGTATTGTATAATTATTATTTAACTTTCTTATATTGACCAATTGTGGCTTGATTGTATGATTGACTTATTATATTATCTCACAATGACCATTTTTTACATGGGTATCTATATTTATATATATATATATATATAGTTATTGCACTGGGTGTCAGATATATAGAGAAACAGGTTATTGCAAAGGGGATCAAACAGTAATTTCACATTATTCCTTGCACAAGTTGTTGTTATTGTAGTGTCGAATTGTAGAGTCTGGTTGCAGCAGGGATGAATGACCTGCGGTAGCGCTCCTTTTTACGAGCCAGGGGTAAAAGTCTTTCACTAAAGGATCTGCTCAGCTCCTCTACAGTCTGGTGCAGAGGATGGAAGGTGTTTCCATGATAGATGTAAACTTGGACAGCTTACAACCTTGGTTATATAATGACCATGCATTTACGCCATTAATATGATGCAATTTGAGCTTAGCTGCCTTTAATATTTTTGTGTCTTGGCTACATCATAACCCAACCATGTTATAATCATATTCAAGTTATGTTTTAGAATTACCTTAGTAATTTTAGAACTGATATCTATTAGTTTTGACACGGCAACCTGATGAGTACGGCTTCGCCATATTTTTATAAAACTAACATTTTGATTTCCCTTTGTAACTAATAAAGTATTTTTAAATATAATATACGAGATTTCCAACAACATATAACAAAACCTGTCTCTTAAAAATATCGAAAGATACGTCATAACTTACCACTAGATTTAGTCTTAGATGAGCAAATCAATTCCATTCAGTTACCCCTTAGTTATGTCATCTCAAAACCAAATCATATAAACAAGATATTCTCAGTGGGCCAACTAATACATTTAAAATCTGCAGATAATTTAATTATTAGTTCAGTTTTTCCAGTATGAAACCAATTTTTATATAAACAATTATTTCTGTATGTTCATTATTTGTTCTATGCATTATGCGAATAAAGGGGTACTACACCTTTCATCTATGTAGCTAATCTGACATTGAATAAAATAATTTTAATCAGTTTTTACTATTCTGCCAGTCCTCATTAACTTTACAGAATACATAGTAGCTGGCTATGTGCCATGCCTCATCTGGAGTCCACTGTATACCTTTACATAGAGCAAGAATCTGACACTGTTGTCCCATTTCTGAACTCTCTGAAGTGTGAAGCTAAAGAATCTACTATGATACAGAACTACATGATTTAGGTTTATTCCACTACCCACCTTTGTGTACATTTGTGTATGCCTACATTTAGTATAATCTAACAATAAACAGGCTGTCAGAAATGGTGTTTCTAATAAGTAGAATAGGAGGTTTTTTTTTTTTTCTAAAACCAACCAGAATGGAGCTGATGAGAAGGTTGTTGGGACATTCTGGTCATTATAACAGGTTGCTAAGTTTTAGAAGTTACTTTAACTGAAAGAATGCAATATTTTTAGACCTCCCTGAACAGTCAAGATGAGATTATCTTCACACTGTGTGGGCTACTTCAAACTACATGACTGACTGATGTATTCAAGTTTTCTAGTATTAAACTATTTTAATACTAGAAAACTTGAGTAACAGCTTGACTAAAACCCAGAGTATGCAGTATACTGTTACAGTTAAGCAGTGTGATGAATGAGCGTCAGTGTTAAACCTCCTGGGATTAGAGGAGCTTCATAAAGCTGGGCAAGGTTTACTCCTTCTGTGTGTGTATGTGTGTATACAGGGTAAAGAAACTGCTTATTCTAGCTGTGGAAAATCAGAAAGCATTAAAACTTCACCTGAGGCTGACACCAAGCTTCTTGCTTCTATGGAGCTTCTGTGTCCCCGGCCAAGTGAACCCCGTTCGCAGTGTGGAGGAATGTGCATTAGCTGCATCCCGTGTGAGTCAGATTCAGCTCAGGTGCACCTCTCCCCATGTCTTTTCCTCCAACGCCAACATCCAATCCCGCAGATAAGGTGCCATTTCCCGGCCTTACCGTGAGCTTGGAATGCGGCAACAGAGCAGCCTTCCATTGCAACTGTCATTTTATACATTAAACAGAACTGGCACGTTCTAAGGAAGCATATATTAATTACACTGAGCGGGCTCACTTGTGTATAGCCATTTAATCCATGAGATTGGTCATTTGTATTAAAAGCTACAAGGGAGAAAAGCAATAGCAACATTCGTTTAAAACAAACAAAAAACATGAAGATGCCATTAAGGAGAAGTCTACTGAACAAGTTTTACTCTGTCTTTTAAAACTCTAAACTTGGGATTTTTGGTAATCTTCTTGTTGAAAAGAGCCAACACCTCCTCTTCTGTTTTAAAATGACTGTCACCAATGAAAGAGTAGTAGGCTGCCAAGACCTGCAAAGTACAGGACATCATCTCTTTAACCAACAAAAAAGACAATTTAAAGAAGATCACATTCATGCTGGAGCATTGAGGTAAAGATGATTCAGTATGTCATGCACAACAGAAAATATTGCTTACCTTCTTCCTGAGTTTCTTCACTGACAGTTCCTGCTCAGGTGACTCTCTCAGCACCGCCTTGATGTTTCCCTTCCAGTTGAACTTGCCTGTAGGATTGATATTAGAAACATAAATAGGCTTTCTGGTACCCAAACTGTTATAAAGAGGATAGCACTGACCCCTGCTGGCTTTGTTAATACAAAATATTTTCCTACTTATATGCGTTCAAATAAATGAGGTGTACTTGTGTTCATTAAAATGAGATGTAAAGTTTGCTTTAAGGTAATTTAAAGCAGGTTACCATGAGGAACAGCTTGATTTTCAGTCTCCTCTTGAATGTGAATTTCTGCAGCTTTGCCAACTAAAAAAGGACAAGAGTTGATAGAGAAGCTGATGTTACCGGATGTGCAACTTGACTGAATAAATGTCATAGTTATGAAATGCAAGCTTGTTCAAACAGAAAACGTAAATGTTTTATTTACACTTTGTTTTCTTGACTGTGTTCTCATCATCAACTCCATTTTCAGTCTGCTCCTCATCTTCTTCATGTTTTCTCTTTCGATCCTTTTTTTTCTTTTTTCCTGTCTGACACGTCACTGTTTCTTCTTCTGGTCCTTTGTCATCCCGTTTGGTAGCTTTTCCGTTTTTTTGCCGCCGGGCCTCTTTGCGCTCCCGTTTGTTCAGCTTTTTCTTCTTTTCTTCAGCATTTCCCTGCTCTTCTTGTTTCTCGGTTCCATTAGTGTTTCGAGCTTCTGCCACAGAGTCTAGGGGTTCTTTGGATGGCTGTGTGGCTGGAGGAGCCTAACAAATTATGAATGGAAGATTAACATTAGGTTCGATTATATTTTTAGAACTTTAACACCCGATATTGAACAGACTAACAGATGTTTGACTATTCAGTCTCTGAGTTACTGCACATCATTCTGTATGTAAGGCACTCAATCCTTAAAGATGTATGCATATATTAGGCTAAAGCCACATTGTGCAAGGGTCCATTTTGCTTTTCACACATATAATCATAAAATGGCCAAACTAGGGATCAAGGAGCATTTAAAAATCGTACAATAAATGCTTTTGTATGCCATTTTACAGTAATTAGTATATCAACAGATAAAATGGACAGTGATTGTTTAATGTTAAGAAAAAGGCTGAGTTCCAACAACACTCTAAGTAAGTAATAAGGAATCAAAACAACATACAAAACAAAACACATAATGTGGAAAAAAAAGGGGAAACTAGTTTATGAGAGACTTTTCCATGCCTCTTGAACGTTTTTAATTTACATCTATAACCCTCACAATGTGTGATAGAGAACACATCAGTCCCGCTGTGAAACACAGCGGTGGCAACATGGTGCTGTGTGAATGCTTTTCTTCAGCACTGACAGGAAGGCAAAGCAGTCCCAACTGGAAGATATAACCAGCTAAATAAAATGTAATCCTGTTAGAGCACCAGATATACGACCGAGTTGGAGGGTCATCTTTTTACAAACGCAAGAACCCAAGCGTAAAGGCTGAGCTACAATGGAACAAGTTAATGTTTTAGAAAAACCCAGCCAAAGTCTAGATGCAAACATGTGTAATATATATATATATATATATAAACAAAAGGAGGCTGTTATATGAAAAGGATCGCAATGAATTGATAATGTAGAATAAAGACTCAATATGAGACAGAAACAGAAATGCAACGAAGTCTAATTTCAGTACAATATATTTCTGCACATTTAGGTCTGCATTTGAGGACTTTCATCTTTTTAAAAGCAGAGGAGATTTTTACTATTTGTCCCGCTGAGTTCTGACACAGCTCAAAATTCAGAATGATTTCACTCAGACTGATGAAAAAACTTACATTTTCTGCAGAATTAATTATGTTCCACACCTCCTCCTGCAGCCCAGTGTTTACTATTCTTAAACTGTTCATCATCCAGTTCTGAAGAGGAAAGCCAAAAGATTCAACTGATTAATGATGATCTGGACACAACAATTCAACCAGCATTCATTTATGCATAGTTTTCTTCCCTCATTTAAACTAATTTAAAGATGATCCTGCTTTCAATTTCATATTTAGAACATTAAATTGTCATAGCAGAAACCATAACATAAAAGTTTACTGTTTAGTGTAACACTGACCTGAAATTTTGCTTTCTTTCTCGGTACGTTGTCATAACTACTAACTTGATGAAGCACATCTCTCAGCTTAGCACTGACCCCGGGTTTGCTCATGGCTTCATTGATTCTCTGCATGATAAAATTAAAGAAAGTCAGAATTAAGAAAAGCAAACATATTTATTTAAGCATAATGTATAAGGAGGAATTATTACCTGTAACCACTGCTGTTGTTTCACGTCTCCCTTGTTTGCTTTGGCTTCGTAACCTTTTCCACCATACTTTTGGTCCTCACTGATACATTTATTATGGTTTTTGTAGTCTTCCCCCCTATGTGTTAAAAAAAGGGACAAAACCCAAAGAAACGTCAATGTATTTTCCAGTAATTGTTTGAGATTGAACTACAAATGACCTGCAAGGAAAATCATACGTTCTTTTCATTTCAGTAAGTGCTTTTTTATTTGTACTCATCCCCGGTCACCCTGTCATTTCTTAAGAAAACCATGTATAACAAGATCCTTAAACATAGACTAGTGCATCCTAAAGAGTAAACCCCAGAGACCTAAGATGAGCGGAGTGGTGTATGTATCTTTATATTGGAGAAACCAAACAACCTTTCCACAGATGCACAGCTCAACACAGACGAGCTACCTCCTCCGGACAAGACTCTGCCGTACATCTACACCTTATGGATAAAGGAAACTCATTTGAGGACCAGAATGTTCACATTTTGGACAAAGAAGACAGGTGGTTTGAAAGGGGTGTGAGGGGAAACCATTTATGTTAAGAGAGGAAAAACCAACCTTAATCAGACGGTATGGACTCAAGTTTTTCAGCTCTCAAAACCTACAATGCAGCGATCGAGTTGATTCCTTCTCGCCATCATCTCAACCCCCATCATCATGCAGAGGTCCAAAACATCCAGCCTGGTAGGCCAGGTCAACAATGACCCTAACAGCCCCAATTTCAGAGGCATAGACCAGCATCAATTTAACAAAGAACCCAAACGACTGGACCTGTTAGTCTGGTTCAATTTGCATGTTTTCTAAGCCAAAACAAGGATTTTGTTTGGTTCAATCTACAAAGTCTGGATCTTCTGACCTTTGTGAATTGAAAATGTTTCCTGGATGTGAAGCAAAACGTCTTCAAACTTGGAAACAAATTGGATTGTTTTTAAACATTTTTGGACATGTATAACTGAGATCTTTCAGATGAATCTTCTTTGAAAATCAGGCTGTTCAGTTTTCTCAAAAATATTAAAATTGCTGGATTATATGTAGCACAAATAATGGTAAATGGCGTGTTCTTGTACAGCGCTTTGTCAAGTCCGAGGACCTACAGTACTTTACAACACTGCGTCTAATCTTAATCACACCACAAGGCTCCATACATCTGAAAGTAACTGGTTAAAGAAAAAGTTTTTACCAGAAATCTTTTCCACAGTCGATGCAGGACAGAACTTGGCACCCACGGCATTTCATGACATGTTTATCAACCTGAGCCTTTTTCAGGGATTCGCCACATGCGTTGCAGGTGAAGAAAACCATTGTCAATACTGTTTTATCTGTGTGGGTCCTTTACTACTGCTCTCCTCTCAGGCAGTCAACATGCGGGATGAACAAAACCAGCTTGGGGCTGAAAAGGGAACAGGCTGATCGTTATGCTAGGTCAATTTAACGTCGCTAAACTGTGATGAAGAGGAGCCGCAAGTATCAAAGGGTATCTGAAAAAGTATAAATAAAGTAAATCCGATTTGAGCTTGGCGAAATATCCGCACGTGGGGACGAATGTTCCAGGTCGTCTGTGTAAACTTTTCAAAACACACGTGACAACATCCGCACGGAACTACATTATTAGGGTTCCGTGTCCAAACACAATCCCGGACAAGGGTTCCGGGTAAAATCAACCTAAAAATTTTGGTTTGTATACATAAACCATCTGCGCATATACCAGTGGAGAGTATAGAACATTTTCTCAGTGGGGCAGTGGGTAGCACTGCTGCCTGGTAGTAAGAAGGTTGTGGGTTTGATTCCCGTCCCGGTGTCTTTCTGCATGGAGTTTGCATGTTCTCCCTTTGCATGCATAGGTTCTCTCCGGGTACTCAATAGACTGGCGACCTGTCCAGGATTTACCCCGCCTCTTGCCCGTAGACAGCTGGAGATAGGCACCAGCAACCCCCGTGACCCCACTTAAAAAGTCGTTCAGCGGGAATTTTTTTGGCCATTTTGTGAGTTGCGCGTAATTGAGGAACAAAAGGCAATAACGACATATTTTATATTTATATATATTTTATATATATATATATTTTATATATATATATATATATATATATATATATATATATATATATATATATANCTGGATTATATGTAGCACAAATAATGGTAAATGGCGTGTTCTTGTACAGCGCTTTGTCAAGTCCGAGGACCTACAGTACTTTACAACACTGCGTCTAATCTTAATCACACCACAAGGCTCCATACATCTGAAAGTAACTGGTTAAAGAAAAAGTTTTTACCAGAAATCTTTTCCACAGTCGATGCAGGACAGAACTTGGCACCCACGGCATTTCATGACATGTTTATCAACCTGAGCCTTTTTCAGGGATTCGCCACATGCGTTGCAGGTGAAGAAAACCATTGTCAATACTGTTTTATCTGTGTGGGTCCTTTACTACTGCTATCCTCTCAGGCAGTCAACATGCGGGATGAACAAAACCAGCTTCAGGCTAAAAAGGGAACAGACTGATCGTTATGCTAGGTCAATTTAACGTCGCTAAACTGTGATGAAGAGGAGCCGCAAGTATCAAAGGGTGTCTGAAAAAGTATAAATAAAGTAAATCCGATTTGAGCTTGGCGAAATATCCGCACGTGGGGACGAATGCTCCAGGTCCTCTGTGTAAACTTTTCAAAACACACGTGACAACATCCGCACGCAACTGCATTATTAGGGTTCCGTGTCCAAACACAATCCCGAACAAGGGTTCCGGGTAAAATCAACCTAAACATTTTGGTTTGTATACATAAACCATTTGCGCATATACCAGTGGAAAATATAGAACATTTTCTCAGTGGAGCAGTGGGTAGCACTGCTGCCTGGTAGTAAGAAGGTTGTGGGTTTGATTCTCGTCGCAGTGTCTTTCTGCATGGAGTTTGCATGTTCTTACTTTGCATGCATAGGTTCTCTCCGGGTACTCCGGCTTCCTCCAACAGTCCAAAAACATGACTGTTAAGTAATTGGCTTCTCTAAGTTCTCCTTAGGTGTGAGTGTGTGGGTGAATGGTTGTTTGTCTCTGTGTTGCCCTGCAATGGACTGGCGACCTGTCCAGGATTTACCCCGCCTCTTGCCCGTAGACAGCTGGAGATAGGCACCAGCACCCCCCGTGACCCCACTTGGGATAAAGCATGTCAGAAAACGGATGGGTTCTCATATTAAAAAAATCATTCAGCTGGAATTTTTTTGGCCATTTTGTGAGTTGCGCGTAATTGAGGAACAAAAGGCAATAACGACATATTTTATATTTATATATATATATATAAACTGTAACTGGAGCGTGTAACAAAAGAAATTTCCCTCTGGGCTTATTAAAGTATTTCTGATTCTGATTAAAGAACAAAACGTATCCAATGTTACTTTTATATTGAAACTGACTGATGCTGCCAGACACATTATGGCAGAAGAACAAAAAAATAACATCAGTCTAAATCGTTTTTAAAATGGTTTAAAACATATTCTCTTTTTGAGAACCCCTTCATTAGAAAACGTATTCCACAACAAACGTGTGGTGCACTATGCGCGTTGCACCAGGAAGTGACGTATGTTGTTGCTGCAGTTAAGTGACCTATCATCCAAATAAAAGGTGGGGTGCTTATTTTTTTATTAGAAATCACACTATTTTAGACGTGTTTCTACCGAACGAATCATCATTAGAAGTACATCATTAGAAATACATAGTATATTTTCATTTAGAGTGTTACTCATACGGGTTAACTTAACTTTCTGTGGCCTACGAGCTAACTGACTGATCCGTCCAAATTTTTGCATGGGTGGTCTCGTAGCTTAGGTTATGTTTACTCCGGTGTGTTTTTTCACCATATACACGAAAATTTGGATTTTAAAAATGCCAAATGTATGCCAATTACCCTTAAATGTAAACGCGAGCCATCTTTTGGCAGTTGTTGATGTTGACTATTGTGTTTTGTCTTTATGAGGTAGTCAGAGCAGCTGGTTCACCATGGACAGCCTGTCCAGCCACAGCTCCTACCTCCTCCAGCAGCTCCAGGAGCAACGGATTCAGGGGCTTCTCTGTGACTGCATGCTGGTGGTCAAAGGGGTTTGCTTTAAAGCCCACAAAAATGTCCTGGCTGCATTCAGCTCCTATTTCAGGTGCCTCTATGTCCTCATCTTTTCAATCTTTGCTGAATTCTTGCTTTTAAAATACAGTGCGATGTTGTGTAGAACAACCACATGTGTACAGGTGCATGTCAAGCAAAGTGTAATATCATAGAAAAATGTCATCTAGTTAATAATAATAAATAATAATAATTGAACTTTATTGATCTCACATTGGAGAAATTTACCTCTACATTTAACCCATCCCCTTGGGGAGCAGTGGGCTGCCATCATGGGATACCTGGCAGGAGCGGAGCCAGATGGGGGGCCAGGGGTGGCCATGGCCACCCTTAGCCAATAATTGGCCACTCCTACCATTTTTTCCCTCCAATACAGACAGTGGCAGCAGTAATAATCTTAGGTGGAATGTTCTAACTTATTTAAAATTAAATTTTTCATATGTTAACAGTTACTTGACAACGAAAATACTGCAGTCAATTATGTACATCAACATACTAACATTAAAGATGTTAGATACCGAATTCATGCGCTTTTCAGAAATAGATTTTGTCTTATAGGGTAAAGAAAATTATGTCTCTCATGTCACTGAAGATTCATAGATGACTTGCAGAAATAAATAACTACTTTAATAATAAATAATCAATTTAATGTAGATATTAGTACATGTAAATATAGATTTTATGCAGAACGGTTATTGATAAATGTAGGTTAGACAATGAATCAGATGTTTGACTGAGAACTTAAGCGTAGACTTTTAATTTAGACAGCATGAATGCTAAAATATATGTGTCTTTTTGTTAGCAAATGCTGTAGGAAAGAAAAATATGAATGTTGTGGTCGTTCCTGTTGGAACAGTGTAGATTGACTCTGAGGTTCTGGCGCCTATGTGCTTTTGGCCACTCCTCAGTGTACATTGGTTATTGCCTGGCCACCATTATTAAAATGTTCTGGCTACTCCTCTGGTGCCTGGGAAGTAGTGTGGGGTTATGGGTCTTTGCCCAGGCAGCCAGAGTGGCAGTCTGTGGGAGTGGGGCTCAGAACCTTAGGATTCCAAGCTCTATGCCCTAACCTCTAGGCCGCCACTCCTTCCCTAGTTCAGCAATCTATTTCAACTTGAAACTCTAATATTATGTAAATCCATGACTTTCAGATTGATTTAAATTCCAAAGTGTCATTTTTAGTGTTTGCCTCTGTTCATTGTGATGTTTATGAAATGCAGCAAATTGATTTATATACAAATTTGCACAAAAAGTATCCTTTCATCTTCTCCTGCTTATTCCGACAGGGTTGCAGTGGGGCCGATGCCTATTTTCTGTAGTTTATGGGCGAGAGGCAGAGTACATGAAATTATACAAAACACATTTTAAAAATGATAATAAAAAAAAAAAAGCTTTCATTATGGCATACACTGTTATGTGGAATACTGCTCCTCAGCAGATGTGCAGTAGACGGTCAATTAGACTAGCTGGCTGAATCCACCTATATTAATAGTCAGATCTAGGAATGGGCTTTTCTTGGATGGGTGTACCGAAACTGAAATTTCTCCCCACTGTAGTGCTGCTACAGGCTGTGTAACAAATAAAGCTATTCTGATTCTGAAAACCCTATATAAAGACAAAGTATCAAGTATAACTGATAATTAAGTTTGAAAAAGTGTTGCACAGGCAACATAAATGACCACAGTCTTGAAGATAGTATGATTCAACAGCTAAGGAAAGAAGTTGAATAATGCTGAAGTGGGTGCCTCAAGATTTCAAAGGGATGCTGTCCCGTTTGCTTGAGGTCCAGAGGAACGTTTAGAGTCCAAGATTATTTTGAATCATTTCATCTGATGGTAGTTCCACATTGTTTTATGAATTCTAAAGTCAGAATAGCATCTACCAGAAGGAATTAGAGCTGAGTTTCTGCTGAGAAGGGTTACCATTAAAATGTTAGTGGAATAGAATATATAAAAAATTATTTTAAAACTAATATTTCTTTTAGAGTAATTAAAGAAAAAAACGGATCAATTTCTACGTTTAATCAAAATAGGTTTACATTAACATCTTTAAGGGGGATATTATGAATTTTGTGTTTAACTTTATATTTTAGCAGACCGGTTCATTCTGTGGTAAAAACAAATGTTTTTAGTAGTTTTGTGTAATATAAAAAATTCTATAAAACTGGAAAAAAAAAATTTTTTTGCTTTTTTCTTAGCCATAATCATCAAACATAGAAATAAATGATTGCCTGCAAAATATCTATCATACTTCCTTTTTTGAATGATATTACTGAAATAAATAAGCTAGTAGTATTTTAATTTATTGAGATACATCTGCACATGTCCTTTGATCTTTGACTTTATCTTTTCAGGTCTTTGTTCCAAAATCCTCCTAGTCAGAAGAGTGACGTGTTCAACTTAGCGACTCAGGATGTCAGTGGCATTGGTCAAATACTGGACTACATGTACACCTCCCATATCGACATTAATCAGGATAATGTACAAACGCTCCTGGACATTGCCCAAAGTTTGCAGGTCCCAAATGTGCAGAGCATGTGCAATGCATTCCTCAAACCCTGCCCTCCACCTGTAGAGATGCCTTCCTTTTCCCTCCCAGGCATGCTTAGCTCAGAGCACGACTGCCTTTTGGGGACTAACCTGCCTCATGATGTTGACCTCAACTGTCCATCTGATCCTCAGAGGCCCAGCTTTTATAGTGACATGGATCACGCAAGGAGGATGCCAGTAACGGTGTCTAACAACAGCTCAGCATGTGACTTACAAACCAGCTCCCATGCACCTGCTGAGAAGCAGCTTGTTCATGGTTACAAACTGCGTAATTTCTACAGCAAGCAGTACTTTAAACAAAGTGCAATTCAATGTAACAGTTCATCATCAAATCAAGGTCCAGGCCCTTTGGTATTAGTGGAAGAGCAGCAATGTCAGCTTGGAATGAGCCAGAGTGGCAATAACGCTCCAGTGAGCTTAGGAAACACAGTTCAGCCTAGCCCTCCTTGCACAGTGATAACAGTGGAAAAAAATGCTGTCTCTTCTTTGACGCCCACAAATAATTTAAACCCCCCTACCTGTGACCCAGCCAACTTCACAATCAACAAGCCTGTACGACCCAAGAAGGCCGTTTACCTGAAAAAATACAACTACCTTCGGTCACAGAAAGCTTTAGAGGAGATGTGCACTGAGTCAGTCGCTGAGCCCATCCTCAGCTGTCCCAAAGAGAGTCATCAAGGGGAACCTGTTGCTCAGACTGAAGCTCCAGATGAATTTCCAGAAGCGCCCACAGGCAGCAGCCCTTTAGTAAGAGAGGAGAGTTCAGAGGCACCAGACGCCCAGCTTATCAGTCCCCCCCCTGGAAACCAAGAGGAGCAAAATGGGAAGCCTCAGCCAGAGCCTCCTCAGCAAGCAGGGCATAAGCAGTACTGCTGTGAAGAGTGTGGGAAGATCTTCAAACATCCCAGCAACCTGGAGCTTCACAAGCGCTCTCACACTGGTATTAGTTGTTTTATTTGCTTTAAGTACACACTAGCACACAGTAATCACATTTATCTCTAGTGCTTCACTGATTGAATTGTTTCCAACACACACTGATTTTCTGTTTCAGGAGAGAAGCCATATCAGTGCAATATTTGTGGCAAAAACTTTTCTCAGGTATTTTTCTTTTAAGCTGTATGATAGAATTTGGCATATTTGCTCTGTAACTGTTGAGCTGTTGTTGGGCAACAAATGGGCTTTAACTTCCAGGCAGGGAATTTACAAACCCATCTGCGGCGACATTCTGGAGAGAAGCCGTTCATATGCGAGCTGTGTGGTAAAAGGTAGTTTACTTCTTGTTTATTTCAGGTTTGTTTTTAACTATGTCGTTTGATTTGTTAACTTTAATTTTAGCATGTTATATAATGAAAAATATCCCATCTGGAGAATAATAACCAGATGCCCAATGTTTGAATCACTAAAAATTATATCAAAAATTAAATATTTATCACCATCACACAGAATGACCAGATGGTTTAACAGTTCTCCTAGTTTTGATGCTGAGGGTCTTTTATAGTGAATGGCTTAATTTAATCTTAACAGGAGACTTAAAATACAAAACTGGTGGTTTTTATATGCATACTGTTTGATGGAATAATCAGAATGCAAAATCCAACATCTTCCATTCCCAATCTCCAGTCTCACAGGAACTATTTGAGATGGGCTAAAGATGGGAAACCAAAGCTGCTTCCTAGAGAGAAGCCATAGGTGCATGATCTGTTCTATAGTGGGCTGTACAAACTGTCCACAGTATCAAATATTGGGCAGCTAATTATTACACTTCATTTTCTAATGGAATATCACTGACGTTGCAAAAAAAATGTAAAAACATTGATCTGAAATGTTTATTTACCTCACCTTATGTGCTTAAATAAACATGATCTTTAGTGTTAGATTAAAAATAAAACAAATCTTCATGTTTTTTATGAATCAATAAGGGGGTTGCCTCCAATTGTAATAGTACCGTCTCTCGGCACAAAGCCCTAGAAACGTATTTTAACCAAATAATTCATTCAATTTAATTGATTTCTTTTTTTTTTTACCAGCTTCACTGCATCAGGAGATGTCCAACGTCACAAAGTGGTTCATACAGGAGAGAAGCCACATCTGTGCGATATCTGTGGCCGAGGTAATGTTACATCTATACCCCAGTTTTGATAGATTGCATTTTCCTTCAAAGGCTCCGCTGAAAAGTTGCATATATAAAAGATGTTTTTCTTTTATGTCACTTGCTTAGGGTTCAACAATTTGAGTAATCTCAAGGAGCACAAGAGGACTCATGCAACAGATAGGACATTCACCTGTGACCAGTGTGGAAAGTCCTTTAACACACACAGAAAGCTGCTGAAGCACAAGGCCCGTCACACTGGAGAGAAACCCCACAGCTGTGCAACTTGTGGTGAGGAACCATGTGTCTATTTAGGACTGGGTAACAGTAGATTTAAGTCTGTGTGGATGTTAGTCTGAGAATGTGCTTCAGAAATTCAAAAAGTCACATTTTGAAGTCATGGCGAGGTTTTTGTTGATTTTATTTATTTATTTATTTATTTATTGTCGAAACCAAAATGGCAGAAACTAGTGATTGCAGAATAGGGTTGCCTTTAAAATACACAATAAGATAGAATTTTGTTCAAATAAACTACACAACATAGATTTTAAAAGGTGTGATTGGATTTTTGTGCAAGAATACAACAATAAATATTGACTGGAGGTAAAATTGGCTTGATAAGGTTGACTGAGGTGACAGTTCCCTTCACATCAGAGTTTATGAAACTAAAGATTTCTTTGTTCCTCCATTAGTTAAAACAAAACAGATCAGCAAATTTAGCTTTTATTATTTGCAGTTTTAAAGGATAACAAATCTGTATAGTCTGCATGTGTTCAGTTGATGTGTTCAGTCCTTTACTTGGGTAATGTGTTATTTCTTCCAGGAAAGTGTTTTGTTGGCTCAGGAGACCTTCAGCGTCATATACGATCACACACTGGTGAAAAACCCTATGTCTGCGATACCTGCGGAAAAAGCTTTACCCGCTCTGCCATGCTGAGGAGACACAGCAATATGCACTGCAAGGGACCCCCTGTCTCAAGCCCAGACACAGTCAGCTCTAAGCAGACTCTAAACTCAAATGAACCAGACTCATTTATTAAACCTATCAGCCAGAACAAAACATCAGCTGAAACAACTGAGCAGCACTTTTCTGCTATGATGCCTGACACAGACTTAGGAAAACCTTCTCCATGTAGTCCTCCACAGACACAAGCAATACAACCTATAGAAACTCCAGGTCCTAGAATGCATCTTAGCCCAGCACTGACTCCCCTTCCGGAGCTGCGCTCCCTGGTTCCCCATCACCTCCTTACCTCCAATCACCAGGAGAGAAGCGTAGCTCTGCTTCCTGCAGACCGCATAAAGCTGAATAAACCGACTCAAGAGGCTGTGTACGGTCCATATGTGGAGAACGGGAATACATGCTTAGACAGAGACCCTGCAGGGAGACCCTACCTGCCCCCTTCAGACAATCACTGCAGTTCATTCACAGGATCCAGCAGGCCTAACAGGTCCGGTGAAGGCCAGCTTATCTCCAGTGTGACTCTGTGGGGCCTGGCAATGAAAACGCTGCAGAATGAGAATGATAATGACATGGAGCAGTAAATTATTACATCTGCTTAACTAGGAAATACTTATACACAGTTGAAAGTATGTCTGTTGTTTAAAATTGGCTTATTTACATAAATAGTCTCAAAGGAAATGTGTATACATAATACAGATAACTGAAACTAAAAAATAGGCTCTTCTAACTGAGTTATAAAACTAATATCTCAGTGATGTATTTTATCAAACATAGAGATGATGATTTTCTGGTAATAATCCGGTCTGAATGAGGTAATGGTGGTTTTTAGCCTGTGACATTGGATACCCACTAACCATTAGGATGTGTTCCAAACATCCCCAGTGATCTATCAGCATGATGGCCTGTAACAAAGCAGAATTGTTTATCTTTTATATACAGCATTGCACTTTAATGTTACTGCTTAAAAACAAAAAATGTATTTTAATTTTATTTTGAATTATATTCAGATAACAATAAACCAGCTATGCCTTTTAAGCCTCTGTGTTCTTGATAAAACTCATTTAATTTTCTTTTCATCGCTTTCAAATACGAACCTGAATGACTTAATAAATCTTTGTTATCAGGTTATCATTCTTGGGAATATTGATCAGACTTTATAACACATGAAATTCACTGCTGGAAACTGCTTTCCAATTTTTTATTAACAAACTATAGAGCAGTTTTCTGTTGTGTATTTCACAACAAATTATAATTGAAATAAAATAATGTCATGCCCTTGATCAGTGGAAGGAAACTTTAAACCAACACGAGTGTTTAGATATTTGTGGGTTTAGAGCCTGGAAGTCCAAAGTCAGTCCATAAGAGTGGCTGTTTTTCAAGTTTTAGCGGTTTCCTTGCTACAGCGCAGCTGATTTCTACTGACTGCAGATCAAGAAGCTTTTCCTGAACTGCAATCATCTGAATAAGGTGTGTTAAAGCAGGAAAATATTAAAACCTGCAGGACAGCAACCCTCGGGGACCCAACTTTGGACACTGATTAGGGATCAGTAATAAACATCTAAACCTTTTAGTAATACCTTATGTCTTTATGTATGTTAGAAACAGTGGTAAGTGTCTGCTTTGGATAAAGAGGAAGACATACCTGATGTTTAGGAAAGGATTCATTTACATTTATGAAAAATCTAACTCTTACTGTTTTTTTTTTTTTTTAAATAAACTGGGGCAGAAAAATATGTCTGCACAATTGATAAAAATGTAGTAAAATAGATCGTAAAATATGCTGCTACTATGAAAAAAACTAAATATCAATAAGTGGGAATGCTTAAGCATTTTCACTTAGCACTAAATGTATAGATGAACCAAACCAGTTTATTCAGTGAAGATGTTGGTTCCTTAGAAATCTTAAAGAATGTATCTGAAGAACTATTTTGATATACTTTACTTTTTTTGAACTGATTAGAGTTTTTTGAATGTTGATACATGTAAGTATTCTTAAAGAGACCCATCTTAATGCCATTCAGTTATTTGAGAGCTATGCTGAAGAAAAGCCAGGAAGTATGTCCAGACCAGATTGGTTTGATGTGAAATAAAAGGTGCAACAGAGGATCTGCAATGGATTTTATTGATTAAACAATTAATGAACTTTGACATTAAGCTAATAATAGCTCCCTACTGGGTCTTTAAACTGAATAATAATCTAAAATTGTGGTTTAAAGCAGGAAGACAAGACGATCAAGTTTATGCTGAAAATCCATTCTGCTATTATTATAATCTCTTGGCTGTCAATATAATTCGCATGTAAGCACTGCAGAAGATGCATGCAGCCTTAACAATGTTTAAGAGCTGCAATGGGCCACTTATACGCACAGTTCTGAATTTAAGGTATTGCTGCTGAAAGGTCTACAGAGGGAGCTAGAAACTACCGGGTTTCTAACTACACATCAACCGCCGACTTAAAGTCACAGAGGTACTAGATGTGGCCGATGTTCTAATGGCCAGTTGAAGGCATCTCTTGCAGAACACAACAATGGGTTAATCACAAAAAAGCGAACAGAGTACAGTATAACCTAGGAAATAATGCATGTCTGTGCTCTCACTGTGCCGTAAGGTATGAACATTGCTCAGCAGAGTGACATGGTTTTATGGATACTGTTAGTGAAGTGAAGCTGTCAGAAATGAGAAGTATATCCAGTAAACGCCATGCACCAGTAATCATTGTGCAGCCCCGCTGCCTAATCTCAGACATGTAAACACTGCAGTGAGTAGGCATCATTTGCTACGCTTCCAGTGATTGGCCATCCTTGTCACAACATACAGGCCTTGTAGCCTGTGCCTGTTGGATTGGTTGCCTAGCAACCCAAAGGATAAGGCTGCTATCACAGTGTCCATTCTCCTTCATTATCCGTTACATCAGTCCACACTATAAAGGAAAGGAGGGAAAGTCTTTGGCACGCTGGATCTGTATGTGACTCTGGTGCCCCTAAATGGAAATTTGTCCCGTTAAAGCTGAAATGTTGCAGTATTTCATACTTTTTTTTTTTTCAATTTTTAACCAAAACTGGAATGGGGGGTTTTTTTAATTTATTTATTTTGTTTCTTTATCATTTACCCTTTATTAATTACACTCGGGTTTTGTTAACATGTTTTACGGGAATCAAAGATTTTACCTTATTTTTAATGGTTAGCATTTGTAGGTGCACTTGGGTTTCTCAAAATGTGGTTTTAAGATTTCGTGTTTATTTTTAGTATTCATCTTAAATTATAAAAATATAACATAAAAAGATGTTTATAGATATTTAAGTTTTTATTTAATTTGATTTTATTAACTAATATCTACATTGTTACACTAAATTGGTTTACTAGATACAGTGATTTTTTTTTTAATCAATGCTTTGTAAAGTGTCATTTAAATTTGGCTATAAAGGTTTACATTTTATTTGGGTTTTTTTTTTAAGGTCTTTCCTTGCTAAATACCTTAGAGATGTCATCACTTTAAGAACTTAACCAATGCATCCAAAGCATCTTCTCAATTTACTGCTGTATGTGCTTCTATTCATTATAAAAGCAGACTTTTTTTATGATGTGATTCCATACATTGTTTACAGTTTCATAAGAACTGTTCACCTCACCTGTGTCCACATTGGTAAGAAGACAGTAGTTAGTTTTTTCTCTATGCTCTATTATTTTAAATAACAGTTTCATTTTCAAAGCACTTTTTCTCTGTTTTAATCATTGGGATTTTGCATTTTCTCAAATTAAATTTAATTGTTTTAAAGTGTAAATTTTGCAACTAAACATCTTTTCAACTTCATATTTATGTGCTTGTCTAGGTAGCTCTGCAACACCTTTGCTGGAATAAAAGGGGAATGTGGCAAAACTGCAGCAAAGTGGTGAAACTTTAAATGTAAAACTGCAGTCTTACCACTTTGAGAAAGATTTAAACAAATAATAGGTACTGATAAATGTCACACATTTAATCCGATAACTTATCACCCCAGTGTTATTACTGCTAATACTGACATTAACCAGTACCCTGTGGATAAGATGTTGACCTAAATATACATTTTTGTCTGAAATTAGTTTCCTCTGCATATAAAAAAAAATAATAAAGGTTTAACTTAGATAAATAATTGCTGTTTTGTTTATTAATATCAGTATTGGTTTTCCATATTAAATATAGACCAATGCAGTTAAGTTTCTGGTGTTATCTGACCAGAACATATTTACTATGTTCTCTGAAGCTTATGGTTGTCAGTAAAGCAAACTACTTACATCTTGGATGTTCTTAGGGAACAAAGAACCTCAGGAAACCTAAATAAAACATTTGACGCTAGATCACGTACGCTTTCATTTATGTTTTGTTTGAACTGCTTTGAAATGGATGTCTGCAACAGTTTTTTCAAACACGTGCAAACTAAAAATGTCAAATAGTGACTATTTATGTATGTGAAAATTTCTTTTTTGATACCATTTCATACAGAATTTACATTTACACTCTGCACCGGATTTATTTCCAACAGGATGAGTGCTTTTGTTGGTGGATCTCATTCTTTCCATGAACCACTCTCCTCACCATTTCTTTGCTCCTTTTCTCCCCTCATCATGTTGCAGTTAATCCTGATTATGTGTGCCGTCTAGCTGGTTCAAAATGAGGCCCAGCCTAATACCATTTTCTGCAGAAACCTTTCCAAAGGCTGCCTTTTGTTCTGATATCTAATCATATTTTATTGCTTTGTGTTGTCACAGACATATGAGGATAGCTTTAATTAGCAGGCGAGTGTGAAATATATGAATCCATCCAAATATGTCTCTGTAGAAAATATGTCACCGCAGGAAAAACAGCAATTAGTTTTAGCTTCCAGTGAACATTGCATATTATTGCACGTAAGTGCACCATCGCTGTTGGTAAAAATATATTACTGTCCCTGTGCCTCTTCTTATTTTAAGTTACCTGTCTCCCTCACAACTTAACTGTTACTGTCAAAAGACCCACAGTGGTATAGCATCAGCATCAGAAGATGCAAACGTGTTCTGGCAGCGACTGTAGTCAAGCGGTAATTGCTGTGAAGCTGTGGCTTGTTGCTGTGTTGAGATGGATAAGTGGCTGACCTAGTCTATTTGCTGTAATTCCTCTGTGTTACATTATAAAGGAGGCTTAAGCAGAAGAGATTGGTGATTGTTCCTCTTTCACTGCCTCTATACTGGGTTCCATGGCGTTGTACTCTTTATCCCCAACATTACCAGCTTCACACCATTTGCTGGTGTGAATTATGAAAACACTATACTGTGAGGAAGTATTGCTGCTGCTACATGTTTCAGATGATTTAAAAATAAATGATTAAATAGAAGTAGCAGTAGTAAAATAGCTGTCCAGACCAACCTGGCCCTTTTGTGAAATCATAGATTTACTGTGTTCATCCTTCCTTCTTTGGTCAAATGCATCTAGTTAAACCCAGACCTGTGGAATAATTTCAACAGTATATTGCTGACAACACAAAGCAGGCCCAAAATATCCCAGAAAGAAACTCAATATTTCTGAAAGTGAAAAATTTGGGACGATGAAGATTAACCATAGTGACTGATATTATCCACAAATAATTGAACAGTGATAGAGTTTCCAGTATTGTTCAGCCTACTAAACCAGCTGAAGCAATGAAGGCCTCAATTGCCTTAGTAAAGGTCAGCGAGCACAGCCTATATCCAAAAATGCTGACCAAAAACAAAGCTGATCTAAAAACATCTTGATGATTCCTAAGATTCCTTTTTGAAGATATTCTGAAGGGAATATTTTATGTTACATTTACTTACCACAGTAATTATTACCACAGTATGTTATGAAAGCGATTATTGTTATCAATGGTGGTGAACACAAGTAAGTTAAGCGCTATTCCTTCCTGCACTTAAAATTATACTTTAAACAAAAAAATGCACATGCACAACCTTATATACGCTCCCGAGAGGCAACACCTATTAAACATGTGCGAGAGCGTGCACAAACCCATTTCTCCTTGTGCACACTCTGTTTAAACGTTGCTCTTTGAAGCACTCATACAAGCTTACTTTCCAAAAGAAGATTTGCAATTTTTTCAGTATGTCAGTAAGTAAAAATGACGAGCATGTAGGACAGCCTTACGTAAGCATATCACCAAAATGATTGACACTTAGGAGGACCAATTATTTTGATGATCCACCCGGAAAAAAGAACATCCTCCACTGTACCTTTCAGGTCTGGTTTGTGTAATACTTATGTATTTACTCATGGTGTTTTCATCTGATATGTTTAAATATCTAAAAAATGTAAGACTAGCAATGAAGCAAGCTTTAAAGAAATAATTTTTTTGACAATTCTGTAAGTGTGGAGTTCATTTCTTTTAATTAATTTATTATTTTGGCCATCAAGGTGATATGAAATACACATGCAAGGCTAATTGTTTTTAATATAATTACTAATTATTGTTATTCTGTTACTCACTAACCTCCATAAAGCACACCAACCACCTGAAAAAACACACACATTGGCCTTTAGCTACTGTACCCAGGTGTGTTTTCTGTCTGCTTCTGCACTACATTTCCAGTTTCCTCAGATGTGTTTCGACACCTGCCACTGCTTGTGATGGGTTATTTCCCCTCGAGCAAAAGAATCTGGTTGTTACAGCACACTAAGCAAAACCTGGTACAAGAAATAGATAGTCTTCTTTGTAGCTAATTCAATTTTTTATTTTTGTATCCTTATTCCAAATTGCGCACTGAGGGATGATTGATATTTAGGATTGCTTGAAAATGGAAAAATCCCAGCATCTTTAAAGACATGAAAATGATGTGTAGGCTCACACGCTATTCTTTCCTTATATATCTGTGCTAGCTCGGGAATAATATAGTTTATGAAGCCTTTTACTCAGGGGCTGTGAATAGATCGCAGACTGCTGTGCTTGAGGGACACATGTTTGCTCTAAGCATCATGTAATACTAATAAATGTATTTACATTTTTGTATGGATTTCCTTGCTGTTTCCAGATCTTTCATCTTTATAATTTGTGTCTCCCTGCTTCCTGATCCTCATCTATTTTTATAAAACAGCTTACAGCTAAGAGAATGAAAGTAAGGGACTCAATTTCTCTTGTTCACATCATCTGGATTTCAAGTGGTGAAAATATTAGGCAGTCAGATGCAGCGGTTTTCTAATCGTGAGGACAGAGCCCTGAAGGCAGGGTAAATCGTCTGTGCACATGAGAGACGATCGGAGAGATGTTGTAAAATTAGCTGTTCTGTCAGTGCATTTTGTACTCTGCTTTAAGGGAACTGTCACTAGTGGAGCAGACTCAGGGAAACCCTCTCTGCTCACTCTCTCTGTTTTTGCTTCCGGTGAAACTCAGACTTGTTCCCTTTCATTATTTTGGAAAACTCTTTGGGTACCAAACTATGCCAGCTCCTTGTGGATCTAGATATATGTGTCATTTAGACAACAGCAAATGAATTGAATTTAGACAGTAGAATATCATTTATTTAGCCCAATGATTATAATATTGTGCCCTAATAATAAATCATGTTTCCTTGTGTAAGTAAAGTTATTTTATAACTCGGGGGGTTTTCTTCTAAGCAACTTCCTTTTTAAATTTAGGAAAAAACAAATAAACATATGAGCCTTTCTCAAAATACATTCCAAAAACTAAAGGATCTTTTGTTTTACTCTCATCAGGGTTATAATGTCTGACAAGGGGCTAGAGAGTTTCAACTAAATATTAGCTAATATTGTGACCCAGTTTCAGAGTTGGTTGTGCATTTCATCTGTTGTGAATTGGCTTTGAAATTGAACTAAGGTCATTTTTATTTTATTTTTTTAAATACAGCGACTTATCCCCAAACCTCTTCCACAGAGTGAAATAAAATAGAATAGAAGAAGAATAGAAAACCTCTTTTTTGTCCTACAATGGGGAAATTATGGTGTTTACAGCAGCAAAAAGATTATACTTGGACAAAATGGCCACACAAATGTGAAGAGCTAAAAAATAAATAAAATAATGTACTGTAAAGTGTTTTAACATTATAGAACTGTGCACCTAGAGAATAAATAACCAATATACAGTAGAGCTATAGACATTTTTACAGTAATTGATATTTTAAGATAGCAGCAACATCAGAGACGTGCAAAATGACAGCAGCAGGTTATTTAACTGACTAATGTAGAAACTGTGGAAAATCAGTATGAACGTAACAACTTATTGAGGTTGTTGGGAACAGTGATGTTATAAAGTTTTACAGCTGCTGGGAGGAAGGATCTTTATTCTTTATTTCTTTTCTTTATATCTTTATTTAAGGCTGATTTATACTTCGAAACTAGGTCGTCTGCGTAGGTGTGGCATTGAATGCAGAGACGTCCCCACCCCTTCCGCAGACACTCTGCTGCACTTCTCCAAAATTGTAGGTGACCTCACTGAAAAAGAAGACCTGGTTAGTGACTCACACGTTCATAATCATCCTCCGTCAGATTAACATAGTCACTAACCTGAGTTTTCTGCTCGCAGAAGTTCATGCCTGAGACATCCTTGATGTTACTGCAGATCCGCCCTTTTTAAATAAACGCTTTTTTGAAATATCTGACTGTCTGCCATAAATACTGGGTCCTCTGTTCTAAGATGTGACTATAATAATACAGATGTCAGTTGGTTATAGATTCTGACTTTAGTTTACATTACAGAATTAGTTTGTTTACCAGAGAAAACATTAGACTTTAGGTCTTAGTGAGCCAAAACTTATGCTACCTGTACAAAACATTCAAACTTTAAAACATTGATTATAGAGCAATTAAGCAGGTTATAATTTAAAATGTTAAATGATTAGTATAAATTTTGTTCTCCAGATCAAATTGTTTGTCATCGAAATTGACAAATCTAACTGCTTACTTTACTTGAATTGATCTCATGTTATTTCAATGTACTTAAAAACAAAAATCAGTCAGTGCTGCATAGGTCTGAGCAAGCAATAATTTCATCCATGGCTTATCTCTGGATACTCTTGATTTCCTTCCGGTACCCATGCAAGTTTAAAGGAATAGTACACCCAAAACATGATTAGCCTTCATTTTCTACTCACCTCCATGCTGAACAACACTCTGGAGTACTTTTTT